TTAAAAAAAATATTTTTTAAACATCATTTTGTTGATTGGGGATAGTACCGCCAGGATCTTTGACATTTCAGCTGTATGTTAATTTATTGCGAAACATAGAATTTTACAAAATTGAAGAACATATATATATATATGAGTGTATACATATATTTTTAAAAGATTTATAAAATATATATATCTCTGTACCATAAAACTACAGAAAAGAATATATTGAAATTAAGTAATATGTTCATGCTCAGATCGCCAGAAAATCTCTTTTCCTACAGTTATACAATCGGATTGTAAATTATTTACAAAGTTTCCGTTACTTTCGAGTATCTCAGTCATGATAGCTTGTCTCTGTACCATTCCATATCAAGCTGGTGCCGTTTGTCTCTCCAGACAAACTTCGTCGGCGCATTCCCCTCGCCGTTCTCGAAGTTGAACAGAGCTCTAAATTCGATAGCCAGATTGGATCTCACCAAGCCGATCCCACCCGCTTTCTTCGGCGCGGGATGATACACTCTTCCCGTCTTAACGTTCATAAATAATCTTTGCGGCTCAAATGGCACCTGCGGCAAAGGCAGTGATAAAACTCTGTTGAAATTGCAATTTTACTTCATATAGCTGCATCTACGACAGCGTCTACCATTAACAAGTCGTCCGCGTGCGCGTAACTTAACCAGTCCTCGTCCGCGCCGGTCTCCGCGTTTATATACGTTTATATATAATATTATAGAATATTCCAATGGTATCATGTTCCGTTAGGGACGTAATTAAGTAAAAACAAAACAGGAATTTATCATGAAATAATCACTTTAATGAGAAGAACTCGTAATATTTCATTATCTATTAAATTTTCTCAATTTTCCGTTTTTCTGTTAATCCTTGTACCCTGTTATTAAAAAATTTTTGGAATCTCTTTTCAACGTCACTCATGAATCACGCTCGTTTACGTTTTTACTTGCTCAGCAAGTGTCTAAAGGACTCACCTCCTGGCAGAGATTTTCCATGCTGCAATTGTAGCCGCAATAACCGTAGTCGCAGATGCACTGATAGAATAGATGCCAAGCAGATTCTCACATTTGCCGTGTCCACAATCAGTCTTCGGATTCTGACTCGTCTACGTCGATGGAACAATCGATTCCGGTATATCCGGTGCCATCACAGTCGCATATGAACTTGTTCACTCCGTCGGAGCACTTGCCATCGTTCTTGCATGGCACATTGCCCTCAGAATCCTGCGCGCAGTCATCAATGTTGGTCTCGCAGTACATGCCGGAGTAACCGAGAGGACAGGTGCATTTCGGCGTCTATTTTACAAAGTAATAATTGATGTACGCAATGATTTAAGGAGGTTGCTCAGTGTCCTTGCGGGGCAGGCGGTAA